ATCACACGGCTTAATTTTTATTTTTATTTTAACGGACACGGACACGGACACGGGCAAAGCCAAGAAAACATTTGCATTTTATGTTTGTTTTATTGTTCGTCACAATGCTAACCCATCAGCCCATCAGTTTCCCGTCCCCGTCCCCGTCCCCGTCCTCATCCACCGTACCCATCCACCGTCCCCCGTCAACCACGCTGTGGCGCTGTCTTCCGTTTCAGCGCATTTTCGTTTTCTTTCACGTTTAGTTTTATCGTGTTTGCAAATAATTTATGCACCCGTTGCCAGCTTGGATTATTTATTTGGCTCAGAAATGGCTTCTAGGTCAGAGAGCTTTGCTTTGAAAAGTGAAACATTCTGCGGCTGCAGAACAGTTTCTGATCAGAATGTGACCTACAAAAATCTACACGGCACAAATGCACCTGACCTAACATGTCTGTCTGTCTCAGTTTTAAATCTATCGTGCTGAAGTCCGACTTTCAGTTGCAGGCAAAGCATATGTGTGTCGGAACCTTCCAGATCGGACCATAATATCATTTCACTGCCGTAGGAATTATCTGTTGAAAAGTCTTGTAAGAAAACCTTTCTGGTTTATCAAGACATCTTGACCCAACTGGGGATCTATTCGTTAACTACAATAGACTACTATATCATATATCTCTAAAGAAATCAGCTGAAAAGCAGCCAGTTTTTGCTGTGTTTCAAGATATACCATATTTACCAAAAAGTTAGCAATTGCGAGTCTTACTATGTTTCTTAGATATCTGTAACCCTCTAAGCCATAGTTCTACAAAAGTATTTAAGAAATTGGTTTATTACAAAGGATATATTTTTAATCGGAGATTTCGAGTGCTCGGCCATTAAATTTTGAAAAGTTATCCATGCGCTAGCCGGGGACTCAAACGACCGGGTCCGGGTCACAGCTCAATTATTTGCAATCAAAAATTCCAAACGTAAGACAAAATATTCATACACTTGCCAGAAAAAACCCGTCTAAAAAGAGACATAGATTGGTTTCCTATCTCTAAAACCTATCGAAACACATTTCAATTGCGCTGACAGGTAAATTTGCTTGCATGCACAGAAAGGGGAATCACCAAAATTTGTGATATGAACATCTTTCAGAAAATCGTGCTAAATGGTGTTGAAAATGTTTGTTATTTTCAAACCGTGTTAAATGAAAACCGTCTAAAAAAAGTACTGTGTAAAATGAGAATTAGGTGTATATTGCTTTTATGGCTATATAAAGAAAAACCTAGGTCAGTTTTCGATTTAGTGAAATCAGTCAGCTGCGCCCTAGAGCCTAATGGATGCGTCTTTGAACTGATTTGAACTTCCGTTGCAAATTGTGTATTGCTTGTGTTTATTATTGTTGTAATTGTTTCAAGTTTCTCACAAACACACACGTGCTCTTGAGGTATGTAAATTGAAACCAGGTAGCGGCTGCTGCAACTTGTGGCATGTAGCAAGTACAAGTGGCAGACAGCAACAATGGCAAGACGTAAATCACATGAGGCTGTTATTTCATACTCATCCATCTACATACATACATATGTGTATGGCTAATATACGCTTATATGTCTATGCGCCAGTGTTGTCAACTTGAAAAAGTAGCTTTCATTCAGTGTTTGAAATAGCTAAAAACTGCTGAATTGAGTTGAGGCAGATAACAAGCAAAAAAAGGTTGCCACTTTTTGCGCTGTTTCCCTTGAGGCAGGTTAACAGGCAGTTTACCTTAACTTGCTTGGCCATTTTATATGCAAATAATTTTGAATAATCAAATCGGTAGACGATAAACATTGTTGCTATTGATAGGTCCCATTTATCAGAATAGCTAAATTAGTTTGAAAATAGCCGGAATTTCAGCATTTTTTCTGCTGACGATCTAGCCAAATGTAGCTAAAAAGAAATAGCTCAATTGGCAACTCTGTTTGGCACACACAGAGTTCAAAGCTGAGCAGCATTGTTGTTGTCGTAGTTGTTGTTGTTGTTGTTGTTGTTGTTACTGTCCGTGAACTTGGCTTATGGCTTTTGTTACCGTTGCTCGCAACGGAAGTGGCCAAATAATGCACGTGTGAGTAGAGTGTGGGGTGGCACTGCCACTGCCACTTCTACTGCCACTGAGGTGTTTTCTGTCGTCAGCAACAATTGTATAAGCGGCAATAAACAGTGACCACATACGACAAGGGTCAACAGAAACTGGTTCACTTAGCGGACAGTTACACTCTGGACTCTGTTAGGCCAATTGCTTATCTAATGCTAGGAGGAACTTTCAATTTCGGCAGCGCTTTGAATATACTTATATAAACATTCTAAAAACCCTAAGGCATACTTGAAACATTTGAATAATTTATGCAAACTGTGATCGATTATTTAAATAATTTTCACCAGCAAGAAGAGTAGCCCCACACATCGGTGTGTAGCCGACTGTGCAATACTCTGTTCATTGTACAATTAACCATTAAATCAGTCGAATCGAGTCGAAGCTCTAACCGCAATGCAGGCTTTCAAGTGTGACCTTAGGAGGGGGTGAGTTTGAATGTGGCAGCAATATTTTCGGCTCGATATTTAGAGAAGGTCATTAGTCATTAGTCATTAGTCGTCGAGCTGCCAACTCTGTTAACTATGGCTCTAATAAAAATATGATATAGCAGCTCGTTGTTGATAAGATTTGTTAAGAGCATATTAAAAAAAGTTTTTTTTATCAAGTATTTCATTTTGATGCCAATGATGATTTCTATGCAACAAAAAGACGGACCTATGTCAAGTTTCTTGACGATAGCTTTGACAATGAGAGAATAGGTTGCATAAAAAATGACAGTCAGGCTATATTGACTTGACGGTTGATTACGATCGAGATCTAATATGATGTCGGTTATGATTCTGTCATTGTCATCTGCACTTGGTAAACTTGCAAAAATACAAGGATAACAGCAATGTATTGGGGAGAAACTAATAATAGGCTAATTTGATAGAAAATTGTAAATAATATTGGGAACAGAATTTGCAGAAAATAGATAAATTGCAAGAAATCACATATTATAGAAAATGAAAAATGAGTGTGACTTTACTTTTATTTATTTACTTAATTAAGCCTCTAGATCTATATCATCATATATATGTCACATATAAAAAGAATTTTATTTGAATGCTCTGTCTGCAAAAATTGTACTTAAAATTCATAATTGTTTTTTAATGTACTTAATTGGCTTGCCAACAATGATAAAACATGAAGAGTTTCTCTCTCGCAGTGCGATCAAAATTTGTCGATGTCATCCGAAGATAACAATTAAATACGAATACTTGAACACAAACATTTACAGGTAATGCCGGCGCTGCACACAAGGTTCAAGCCCGCCGAGGAGGGCTGGTCCAAGCAGCACGAGGAAGATCTGGTCGAGCGGACGTTCATGGCAACATTTGCCGCCTTCAAGTTTCCTGATCGCGAGCGCCTGCACGTCAGCTGTGGCGTGCAGCTCTGCAAAGGGAAGTGTCCGAATGTGAGTAGAGTATATCTATGCTTGTATTTAATACATCTATCGACTTATATGTGTGTGTACATATGCTTATGCAAAATTAGCTAAGTAACAGACAAGGCCTGGAATGCATATTAATTAATTGCAATGAAAACGAAAGTGTTTTTGCTGTTGCTTGCGTTATGTTTGTTTTTCTTGGTGCAACGGAGCGTATACAATTTTGCGTGCGAGTGTGTGTGTGTGTGTGTGTGTGTGTGTGTGTGTGTGTGTGTGTGTGTGTGTGTGTGAGTGGAAGGCGCCGCTAATTAATGTGGTCATTGCACCAAAATGCACTGAACTGCAGCCCGCATTTGCCAGGCAGCAGGAACAGCAGCACAAGTTGCCCAATATATGCATACATATATATGTATATATGTTATAGTACTTAAATTGCGCTCGGCTTGTGGCTGTGTCAACTAACCAAATCTTTAACTTGGTCGCATGCAGCTCAATTGTCGCCTCGCCGAGCAGCAACTGCAGCTGAACGCCGACCAGCACCTGGCGCGCATCGAGGTGTTTAACTCATTGGCCGTGACCGCGCCACAGATCGAAGTGGATCGTCTGCGCTACGATCGGCGCTATAATATGAGTGGTAAGTAGGGTTTGCATGGGCTGTGCATCCAGCTGTCGCTATCGATTTAACATATTTGCTTGCTTGCAGTGGAGGATTATGTGCCGAATGTGCGTCCGCTAGTGGGCGAGGGCACACTGTGTCTGTCCATTTCGAAGCTGGCAATATCATTCTGCATACTGGGCTCAATCTTTCTGGTAGCTGTGATTGTGGCCATCTTTTCGCTGATTCGCACACGTCGACGCCAGCAGGGGCGTTGCGCTGGCTTGGGCTTGGCTGGTGCTGGCACCACTACCAGCACGTCGAACAGCAGCAGTCGCCTGCACCGAGCCGAAATCTGTACATCCATGTTCTCGTCCAGCAGCGAGTCGGCGCAATCTGCGCCACGTTTTGGCGGCAAGTTTCTGATGCCCTTGCCTTACTATCCAACTACTTTGCCCTATGGCCGTGTCTATTAAGTTTGGAGTTTGGAATTCATTTGTAACTATTGTTTCCATTTTGGGCATGTTTTGGTACAACAATTCTATAGACTGATGTGGCTTCAATCTCAAACATGAAATTCGTTTAACGAATACTCAACGAAAATACCAAAATAAGTTATAACTGCACCATATAATTAGTTGAAAGCGTCTTGAAAGCATTTTACTTTTCGTCGCTAAAATGCGTTTTGATGCGCTTTCATTGTATTAATTGTAGTATTAATTTCAAACACATTCAGTTTTTTTTTTCGCTTAGTATACTTAAAAGTGCAATTGTAATAAAATTTAAATTTACAAACTATCGAGTCTTTTGGCGGCTCTTATTTCCACTTCGATTGCTTGATATGGTTTTTGACAGGTTGGCAGCCCCATGAGCTAACTAGTGCCAGTCCGAAATAGCGATAACGAAAACGATAACGATAACGAAAACGATAGCACGCAACGGCCAGCTGCAGACGAGCACGTTGTGTTGTGCGGTTCTGTGCACTTTGAAAGATTGTGTTTTGTTTAAAGGCCATTCGACGCATAAATCAAGATGACGAAGACACCGCCAAAGGGACGCAAAAAGCCCCCAACTCGCTACTTTGATGCCGCGGCAGTAAAATCCGAAGACGGCGAAGCGAAACCAGCCAAACTAAAACGCAAGCATCAACAGAAGTTCACAGGTGACTTTCTTAAGATGCAGTCGCATGACAAAAACAAAAAACTATACAACAAAAAGCGGCCGGCGGCTACTGAACACCCCAAAAAGCAAAAGATTCCGCAGGAAGTTTTAGACAAGTATTCACGTGGCGATGCCGTAGACTCGCGGGGTGTCAAAACGCGCCACTTCAAAGAGAAGCAGCAGCGCAAGGAGATCTATTTGGAGTATGCCACAGAACAGGCAGCGCGCACAGAGTTGCTGCTACAAGAGACAGCCGGCCAGCTGGAAGCTGATGAGGAGGAGATTACTGCTAGCTACCGTCAAGAGGAGATTGCGGCCAATGTTGATCTGCAATCGGCGGCCAAACACTTTAGGCTCAAGCTCGACTTTGGGCCGTACACCATGCGCTATACAAAGAATGGAAGGCACTTGCTGCTGGGCGGGCGACGCGGTCATGTGGCTGCCTTTGACTGGGTAACCAAGAAGCTGCACTGCGAATTCAATGTGATGGAGAGCGTATCGGATGTGCAGTGGCTGCACGTGCCCACCATGTACGCGGTAGCCCAAAAGGAATGGGTCTATTTCTATGACAAAAAGGGCACTGAACTGCACTGCGTTAAGCGGCTGTCGCGCGTCAATCGCTTGGACTTTCTGCCCTATCATTTTTTGCTTGCCGCTGGCAACAGTGTAGGATACGCATCTTGGCTCGATGTCTCAATTGGCGAGCTAGTCGGCAATTTCAACACGGGCCTTGGCGATATACGCCACATGCGGCACAATCCGAGCAACGGTGTGCTCTGTATCGGAGGCGGCAAGGGTGTTGTCTCCATGTGGTCACCTAAAGTTCGAGAACCGTTGGCCAAGCTGCTCTGCCATTCGACTGCGATGACAGCGCTCACGGTCGATCCCAAGGGCGTGCATCTGGTCACCGCTGGCTTGGACCGAATGGTAAAAGTATGGGATCTTCGCAATCTTAACGAAACGCCGCTGGCGATCTTCCGTCTCCGTCTGCCTGCCAACGAGGTGGAAGTATCGCAGCGCGGCATGTTGGCGCTCTCGCAGGGCACCTACTTGGAGACCTACACGGATGTGCTTCATGGCGGTGGCACTGCAAACAGCAATAAGCTGCCCTATCTGCGCCAGCGTTGTGATGCCTTTGTGCATGGTATGCGCTTCTGTCCATATGAGGATGTGCTGGGGGTTTCCACGGCAAATGGTTTTCAGTCGCTGTTGGTGCCTGGTTCCGGTGAGCCCAATTACGATGCGCTCGAGGATAATCCATACGAGACGAGTAAACAGCGTCGCGAGCACGAGGTGCACGCACTGCTGGAGAAGATACCACCCGAGCTGATCACACTGGATCCGAATGAAATAACTGGAGTGGATGCGCCCACTCTACAGGAGAAGGTCGATGCCAAGCGGCAGCTCTTCCACCTGAAACCGCCGCGAATCAACATGAAAATGCGCCACAAAATGAAGGGACGTGGCGGCAGCGCTAAGGCGGCACGCAACAAGCAAATAGTCAAGGATCTGCAGCGCAAGGTGCGTAGAATTAAGACGTTCCCTTTCCAGATCATATATCAAATTATTTCCTCTACAGGAGTTTATTTCGGAGGTGCGCAAGGCCAAGCAGGGCATCATCGCCTCCCACAAGCATGGCGATGACGGCGACAATGTGCAGCAGGCGTCAAGTGGGAAGGCCAAAACGCCAAAACCCGTGCGCTCCGTCTTGGATCGTTTCAAGCCCAAGCCCCAGAAAAAACAGAAGCCCACTAATTGAATATCTGATAGTAGTTGCTTTTATATAATAAATTGTTTAGTTATAATTTATAAATAACAAAATTCACATACTAGGACACTTTTAACTACATTAAGGAAATTAGTTAGTTGAAAGTTGTTCGCAACAAAAACTTATTTGAAAATCGATTGAACAGATTTTTCCAAACGAAATATTGAAAGTAGACATTGAGACTTTTTCTAAATCTATGGATCGTATTGTCTAGAGAAACAATTAAGAGCAGCTTATTTTTAACACTATTCCGAATGTGAACAAGAATGCTCTAGAGGATACTCTGAATCTCGCGGAGCGGAGCTACCTTTATAAACATTCTAGCTTTCTTCTATACATACAAACTTTTCACTATGGGAAATGTATTCTTGAACAGAGTCGGTGCTTATAGTCCGATCTTTATGAAATTTTTAAAAGGTTCTACCTTTGTTACTCGAGTTATGTATGAATATTTGGCACGATTAGGGCGCTAAAGAAACAATTGGACAACAATTTCATATGTAAACAAATGCATGATTTGTGAATTGAATTAATTTCATATATTTTTAATGCTTTGGCAACATTCTATGGACTTTCGAGTTTAATAACAAGCACCAGAATAATATCGTAATTGTACATTAGGTTATTTGATCTTTGTCGACACGCAGATAACTTTCTTGCTAAAACTTATGTAAATGTATATTTAAGCTATATATCAGCATTGATTTTACGCTAGGTTAGCCCAAAACTATACTTATGTATGTAAAAAACGTGTGTCAAGTAGATATTGTTTTAATTTTTAAGGCCCATCTATAATTAGGAAAACAGCCTGACTGTATACATTGTCTAGAAAAGGCAGTCGAACAATATCACTCGTTTCAAGTTATTTAGAAAAGTTTACAAGCATGGACTGCGAGTAGGCTGGTTGGCTCCAGCCTCTTACCATATAAAAGTTTAGTAAGAGTTGGCTTTAAGCAGCATCTGATATGCTTCAATCGTAGCTGAGAATGCACTTGAGGTAGTTGGCCACGCGGTCGGATGCGTTCTTTTCCATTTTCTGGAGAGCTGCCTGCAATTTGGCAAGATCGCCAAAATGGCGGGCATAGTAGAATAAGTTCAATATGCGCTTTTGGTTCTCGAAACGGCTCTCCTCCGCGCTGAAGTCGCCTGTCACCAGCAGCTGCTCAATGTTCGCTAGCACCTCGGACGCACTATCCATGAGCGCCGTCATAAAGACGACGTTCTGCTGGCGGCAGAGCGTTGACATTGCCGTCAAAGTAACATCGGCCACACTGGGCTTGAGCAGCAGCTGGGGCAGATAGCCGAGAAACTTCGTAAACTGATACTTGCCGCCGTAGCCCCTGTAAAGTTCATTGCGCTGCACAATCAGGCACAGCAGATTGAGCACCTTTGTGGCAACGCCCTCGCGTGTCGTATACTGCTGCCCCACGTAGGCGTCAATGCAGTTCTGCATCACAGTGCCCATATGATGGGCCTGAAGCTGCAGCAGTGCCGCACCATTATCTAGCAAGAGGGCGCGCAATGCGGCCACCAGACGCAGCTGCTCATCTGTGGTCAATGTGTGCAACTGGCGCAAGCATCGGCTTACATAGTGCAGCAGAGAACCGTAGTCGTCGCCCTGTTCGCTATCAGGATGCGGCCAGAAGTAACAAACGAGCTGCACCAGACTCAGGTTCTGGACAATGCACAGTTCCCCGCCAGCAGCTGGTGCCTTCATCTTTTTGCCTTTTTTCTGTTTCGGGCTGTCAGCCATCGGCGTTTGCTGGTAGGGATAGTTGCCTTCCTTGAGGAATATGCGCGCAAAGTTGCCTGCATATGTCCGCCGCATCCAGTCGCTCAGCTCGTGCGTGCTTTCCTGCTGCGTGCTCTCGTACTGGCGCACAAGTTGCCACAGCTGTGTCATGATGTTCAGCAGCACGTGCAAACTGGCTGCGGCATCAGCATTGAGCAGCTGAGTCTGCTGCTGCTGCTGTTGTGGTCGCACCTCCATCCAGTTGTCGTGCAATAGTGGCATAAGCTGCTCCACATAGCTCATCAGCTGCTCGTCCTCGGCTTTGCGTGCTTTTTCTCCTAGAATGGTGTGCAAATCCCGCCTGTCGGTTAATGGTGGACGCACGACATTGTAATACTGGTGCGTCGCGGCATCATAGTGGACGACACGTGCTGCTGGCCTGGCATTGTTGTCGCTCTTGCCTTGCTGCAGCAGCGTGCTGAGAATTTGCTGCAGGCGCAGCAGCACCTTGGTCCGCCACTTGATCGTCGTCAGCTGTCCCTGTCCCTGACCCTGGCCTATGCGCACAGTTAGCAGGCGATTGGTGTGCTGGGTATCGTAGCGCTGCCGTGATATCATGTCAATAAAGTTGCTGATAATGGTGCTGGCACTGCGTTCGACCAGCAGGCGGGATGGCACGCGCTGCAGCAGCACGTCCAACAAGAGCAGCGAGTCCTCCTGTATAGCTGGCTGCACATGCGTCATCGCACAGCGCAAATAGGCGGCAATGATGTGAAAGAATGGCGCAACGGCGTCAACTGGCAAGGCCTCGAGTAGCACGTCCAGTGTTTTATACGATTCGCTTCGTACATCGCGCTCTATGTCCAATGCGCCGGCGGCAATTCCCTGCAGCAGCTCATTGAGATGGCCGATGAGATGACTGGCTTGGCCGGCTTTGACGGCATCGCGTACGTTGCGCAGTGCATCCGTGCGAAACTTGAGGTTGTGATGCTTTAGTCGGGATAGAGCCTCTTTCAAATTCAATTGGCGTTGGCCGTTATTTGTTGGCAGGTGGGATTCCCTCAGCTGTTCGCGTATTTCAATTTTGCGCACTTTAAAGTCCGTCTTGGTCACATTAAGACCCTTGGGTAGCTTGGCACCTTTCAATTTCACTTTTGCCTTTTCGGCACGTATATTCTTCTTGTGATGTCCACCCATTTTATGAGAATATAAATTTTACAATTTGAATCAAAACATGTGCTGCAGCCGGCACGGTTGTACGTATACAAGATAAGAGACAATCGACTTATCGATATTTTCCAGAGTTACTGTAATCAGCAGTGCTGCCAACTCATTGCAATTTTGGCCACCTCTGCATGATGCACGCGCGTAATTTGAATGGCTGCGTTCGAATGCTGAGTAGCTCAGTAATCTGGCGAACTGGTCCTTGGCACCGCAACGCTTGTGCAGTTTATGGCGAGGAGCAATTAGGCACATTGCGGCCATTTGATGTACCAGCATCTGCAGCAATGCCGCATGAATATCCAATAACAGAAGGCGTAATTGCCTTATTAAAATGGATGTACACTTATTAGCAAAGTTTGACTTAATCTGATTTAGGTTGTACCGTTGATAGAAAGGCGTGTCCTTTACGACTCTGAACGGTGATGCCAATTATTTAATGTATTGTTGTCCAGCACATCCTGTGAGCTCGCTAATTGTTTGCGCTTTACGACCTTTTTGTCAATCAATTAATCAGGGTGTGTTTTATAGTCTTTTTAGCAATTAGCTTAAAACGCTACCAAATATAAGTCGCTTGATTTTATTACCGCTGACGACCGTTTCAAGGTCAACTGGTCGGTCCGGACGCTTGGTTATCTTCTCAGAATGCTGAGTGCGGGTTCAAAGTGTGTGCATTAGCAATTGCAAGGCATGTGGTAGCAAGTATATCGCCCACAGCTTGGCAGCAAATCGCATTCCGGGCATAAATTAATATCGGTTGGTTGTGCAATGAGCTTGCATATCTTGTTGGCGTTAAGTTCAGCACATTAAAAGTGCAAAAAGGTAACGTGAAGAGACAGCTGCTCTCGCTAACCGCAGGTGATGACACATTAGGCATTTGGCGAATTTAGAACGATGCATATTTGATAAAAACACAACCGATTTTCAATATTTAAGCAGCATATAATTGAGCCTGCCAACTTAGTGTTAAATAATGAACCCCCTTGGTCAGGGCTGCCAGGCAGCTGGACGCGTTCACACAGGCGCAACGCAACCTTAACAGCCAACTTGGGACTGTACCAAGGGCGTCGCAATGCAAGTTTAAATTTTTGAAGGTTCCACACGCGCCTGTGTTTGCGGCAATGAAAGTGATAACGCCAACCGACACGTCAGACAGCAGAGTTGCACAGATTCACGCTTCCGACTGTAACAATAATGCTTAAACCAAAACAACGGCCAGCAAAACAACAAGAACAAATTACACAGTTGCTTCGTAATTGATGGCAACTCTGTTCAGCTCGTTTTGGCGCGCTCTCCAGTCGGTTTGCTCGTCGCCGACCGACCGAACGCCTGCCAGCGTCAATTCGCCGCTTCAGTTGTAATCGAAGTTTGAACCTGCGCGGTTGTGCTTTTTTTTCACGCCTGGCTGCGCCGTTTTTCGTTGCCAAAAGCGTTCAATTCGTAAAGTTTGTTGTAACTGGCAAAGCTAAATATTTATAAGACGCCTTTTTTTTTGTTGAACGTGTTATTGTTGCGTGTGTTGAACACTTTTTTTTCCGTTTGTTTCATACATTTTTTTGCGTGAGATTTATTTGTTTCGCTTAATGGTTGTTTATATTGTTGATACCTAAACATAAATGTGCCTGCAGAGTTTGCTGTTGTTGTTGTAGTTGTTGAAGGCAACAACAATGTAGCAGCCCAACAATAACAAATTGCCAAATTATTTTGTAATTCATAAGCAACAACAACAACAACAGCGCCGAGCCCGCCGAGCAGCAGCATCACCTAACGTCAGAGGCAACAACAATAAGAAGCTGCGGCACATGCATGCAACAGCTGCATGCAACATGCCATAACAACAACAACGAGAACAACAACGAGAACAACAACGACAACAGAAGCTTTTGAGCCGGCGCCGTCTGCGTCGGCGTTCCGAGCTTTTGGCTAAACATCAAGAGGCCGCCGCTGCTCACATTTACATATACATATACAATATACATACATAAATTATCTCAGCGCAATTGGCTTTTACCGTGCTAGCAGGTAAGCTGTGAGCTTTGCTTTGCTTTATTGTTACGAAAATGCAGCATTGATTCATTATCATCACAATCGTTATTATGCTCATGATTAAACGCTAAATGCATTTGGCCAGTGTGCATAAATGAAATGATGCACATTTATACATATGCATACATGTAATTACACACATACATGTGCATGTCTGTGCATGTCTGTGCATGTCTGTCTATGTACGTAATACGTATTGCATTTCCCGCTGGGATTTTTCGCTGGAAAACGCTGCTAATGCATTCAATCTCATAAAATCTGTGGCAATGCGGGTCACAAGGGGGTTGCGGGGGACACAGACTTTAATGTGGCAACATTTAACCAATCACAAAAACTACATGTGTGTGCATATATTTTTGACACCTAGTGTTTTGCTCTGGTGGCTTTTTATCTTGAATAATCTGTGTTGTTAATGCTGCAAGCAGGATTATCTATAATGGTAGCCGATGATTTTGTATTCCACTTGACCCCCGACCAGAAGAGAAAGAATAGCTTCTGTTCTGATTCATACTTGATTCGCGTGATTGACATCTCGAGCCTGCTCTTCGATCTCTAAACAATTTACATGTTTCGGGAAATAACAATCGAGCTACCAGATTTGCATATCTTTCAACTCACAGCTGAAGGCTACAAATGAGTCAGCTTCGATTTGTGGACACAGCTGCGACTCGGACTCGATTACGCTGTCCTCTTCAACTCTGTGAATAATAAGTTTGTCAAGAAATGTGTTCCATGAGCTATATATATTTATGTATATATTCTTGATCAGTATCAATAGCCCGATGTCCATTGTGGACATATCCATCTGACAGTCTGTCTGTTTCTATGCAAACTGTTCTCTCAATTTGAAAACTTCATTTGTTGTAGACAGCATTTGGCCCGACTTTTATAGCATATAGCTAACATAGGAACGATCGGTTCTCAAATGAACAACTCAAGACGTCTTAACCAAACGTGGTGTTAATCAGACTCATTATAATCCCTTAATATTATTAAAATCTGATCAACATCAAACAGCTATATCATATAGCTCTGTTTTGTCATATAAGGACCAAATTCAGATTCACTATTTTTCTAATATATCTGCAAAACGTGTCAAATCGTAATACAATATCATATGATTCCCATAGGAACAATCGCTTAGAAACAATATTGTCGTATAAAATCACCTCCGAGCCATATGTCCATAATGGCTATTTCAATTTCTGCGTGCCATTCCGTACTGTTCATATTTGTTATGCTCTGAACCCATTGAAAACAGGTAAAAGGGCAAAATGGAAAGAAATCTCGATTCCATTAAGTGTACATATATATATATATATATATATGTTCTTGATCAGGACTAGGAGCTAAGTTGATCTAGTCTTGCCCAATCTTGGAAACTACAAAATGTAGAGACTTGAAGTTGAAATTATATACATATTCTCCTATACCATAAAGCTAATCGTTTTTTTGTTAGTTAGAAGAGTAGAAGAAGTTGAACACAATAGAAATAGATCGGACTATAAGCACCGACACTATTCTGGAATATATTCAACATATTAGCACGCTTACTTGGCGCAGGCTCGAGGGAATCTCCTAGTCTGTCACTCTCGACTACGGCATTCCGTACCCCTCTATTATCTATATATTTTTCATTCTGAAACTTATTTTTATTTTTCGAAGCTTTAAATGTAAAAAATAATAATAATTAATTTGATGTCTTGCCTCACATTCTTCTCGCTCATTTGTGTGAAGCTGCGACAGTCGAAGCCACGTGTTTGATGCCTCTTTCGCTATCTTTTTGCCTTGCGACTATTTTCGTTTCATTTTTATTCACTGTTTCGGTTTTGGGTTTTATCAGCGATTTGGCACATAGAGAGACGGAAGAAGAAGAAGAAGGCGGAGCACTAAATGCTGAGATAAAGAGGCCAATGCTGAGAGCCGGAGCCAGAGCCAGAGCCAAAGTCATGTTCCAGTTTCCGCCTGACTCCAAATGATGTCATGTGTCTTGGGGCACTGCAAACGAATTTCGCTCGCACCGAAGAAAATCTGACGACAGCAACAAAAATATGAATAGCAAGTAAGAGTGCTCTAGTCGGGAGTGCCTGACTACAAGGTACCCTATGGGAAATGTATTCTTGAAAATCGGCGTTTATCCAATTTGGAACTCTATTGGAACTCTTAAGGCGATTGCTATGGATATGAGTATAGACAGATGGGCATGGGCATGTTAATTTAGTCCGGATCAAGAAATTATAAACTTTATATTGTCTCGAATGCTTTCGAAGCTACATTTCCACACTTTCCTACCCTCTCAATGTTAAACAAAAAACACTGCTGGCACTTTCTGTGCCATTTAATTAGTTTTTCTTTATTTCGGCAAAATATTTGTATCAGCTAACCTCTGACTTTAAATAACAATTACTGCTCCCCAAAGACTTAGCTAATTAAAGTTTAGTAATTATTTTATGTGCTCGCACACGTTAATACAATACATATACAAATATGCATGCCTGTAAACATATTAACAAACTGTTTGTTCTCGACAAAAGATAAAAACGCGATAGCCATTCTACATTGTATCCATCTATCTAGTATCTATGTACACACACATATGCATATGTACATGCACACATACATATACATATAATCTGTACATTCAGTTATCTCGGCCAGTTAGTCAGCTAAGTATATGCTCAATTATAGATGCTTAATAGAGATTTAATACTTACCCAATGTTGTTTAAATCTATTCAGTCTACACTTTATTGCTGACAGTCCATACTCTCATTAAAATCGATAAATATCGATAGCTGAGCTCGGCGATAATTAGAGCGCGTGACACCAATTTCGTTAAGACGGCTTCTGTATATCCCATAAAGCGAATACTTTAGTTTTCCTGCCCGGCTTCCCTTTGCTTGGTTTGTGTTTTCGGGTGCTTGTTTAACGTGTAACTGTGTTTCCATATAGATCGGGTATTATCGACTAGTGATCTCTTGCTTCGTATGTAGCTTGGGTTACCCAGCTTCGACCTGCTTGCATTCTTGCCGGAAGGGTCGGCTAGCTTTTTTTTTTTAAGCTTTTTTTTAGCATTTGATGTAAGTTAATAGCATGCAATAAGAATAATACACACGATGCCGCCAGAATATCCTAGAGCAAGACAGGTTCATGACTCTAGCTCCAAAGATATCTATCGTGGATATACAAGTTATACATATTATAATAGATATACTTAGCTTGGAGTTTCTAGCTTAAATAGCAAGAAATAACTATAAGAATAGAGTATTTATATTATTAACTACAATGAATGTCTAAATAAATCTTTGATAGTTGTGCTTTTTATAGAAAATGTTTGCTTTGAATATTTTGCTATGGCTTATGTGGTACTTTAAATAGGAAAGATTTTGCAAAGGGAACTTTTCCATTCTTAAATGTTTTTCTGCAAATTTATTTGATATGAGTTTCAGCAAAAAAACTAAAAATTGGGCCGAGCAAAGCCGGGTAATACCTACGACTTTTAAGTAACTAGTAATTATCAATAACACGTTGATAAACCGCCAGCTCAATAACCAGACCCTAGTCCACAGCTTAAAATAATTGCGTATCCATCAGGGGAGCATACGATAAGTCCGTGATCCGAGAAATAATAAGAAATTATCAACATATAAATGTTATTTTCTAAGGTCTAATCTTAACTATTTCCAGCACCAAAAGGCAAACCACAATTGTTCATCAGCTGAGCCCTAATGAGAACTGGTTTTAACTAATGCACAATGCGTATGACTCAGCACAGCTCTATACTTGATGCTACTTTCGCTGAATCAGTATTACAAGTTCTAGAAGTCTAAGCAATATTGGCCGCGATCCGATCTGATGCTCCCTTTTGCGATGACTTTGGATCTTATTGCTTGATTGTTATAAAATTATCCGGGCTTCAATATGCCATCCAATTGTGGAGCTTTACGAATGCGCAAGTCCACGCCTCTTAAAGGGCTTGTTTTTAGATTTCGCAAGCAATAGCGGCAGGTATTCCGAAAGGCAAAAAATCTTAGTCTGTGTATACTTATCGAATTTGTCTATATCTTTATGGGTCACACAAATAATTCACAGAGTTTAATTAACTCTTGTTTTCTGACTTGTATTTACTTAGCACTCCTTTTAATTGCCATCTTAAGTGTTTTTCTTAAATGCTATCTCGCAGTTGATTATAACAAATGAATTTGTCTAGACTCGAATCTCGAGCTGAAATGCATATCGCTTATATAGACCATACATTCATCCATATTGCACACAATGCAACATCATTATGGCATACGTGTATGTACATGTATGACTAATGCTCTGAACGTAATTAGGTTCGTTCTGCTTGTACTTTGGGATCTGTTTGCCATCTTAGTTAACGGTTTCTGTCGCCCGCCCCAGTCTGGAGTCGGAAGGTGGGAGGCGTGAGTCGTGAGTCGGGCATGAGCCAGCGCATAAAACAAAGATAACGCATTCAGAAGATAGCCCAGAGATATCTAAAGAATTGGAAACGCGTGAAAGCAGATGCATGCCATAGCTAGCCAAGCTAAATGTGTTTCCAAGTGCATTTGCCTTGACAACACCTTTAACATGCTGTCAACTTTGACAGCACTTTTAACATGCGCTCATACTAGACTTCGTTTCTAATGATTCAAGAGATAATATCTAAGAAGTAAAAGTGCTCTAGTCAGATATAAATCGATATTTATCGATAGATAAATGATAAACTCTTTCTGGACTGATACCTATACCATAAAAATGCAAATGCATAAAACTATCCAAACTATCAGGACTTTGAAGCTTAAAGCTTAACTGTCTGTCCGTCCGTTCGTCCGTCCGTCCGTATATGTATGAACGACTTGATATGTTAGATGTAGGTGCTCCTACGGCCTGCGCAGATCGAGTTTGCTTCCGATAATCGATAACTTACTCCGTTTCCAAACAATCGATAAAAATCGATATCGATATTCAGTTTTTTGGGCAATTTTGGTAAATAATAAGAGCTAGAGTCACCAAACTTGACATATAGCTTCTAAAATAGAATATATATATGCATTTGATGTTGGAAGAAGAGGGTTCAGGGTATTCCCTAGTCGGGAGCTCCCGACTAGAACCTCTTACTTGTTTTTTTTTTGCCATCCGTTCGATCTCAAACATTTATTCTTAAAAATCATATGTGATGAAAATCGACCTTACCTTGGTGGGAATAAGGGTAAAGATTTTGTGGGTTGTTTCTAAAGATTCTTTTGAAAATAAATTTGAGACGTGTTCGCTGGTTTCGACCTTTTTGAGTCCAGTTAGTTAAGTCTCGTCCGATCGGCTTGAGAATTTATGGAATATGTGTTTCGGCGATTTGCAAATTCCATCCGCCACTGTGGAAAATTGGTCTTAACGGTTGCATGGTAGTTGTCTGTTAATGCTGAATGGAAATTGCGGGTTAAAGGTTGCACAGTTCAAGTTTCGGGTTGAAAAGTCATTTCCATCTATATAAAAACTAATTTGGGAAGTGAGTGTTACACACTCTTAGAAAAATCCATGATCTGTAAAGTATGTATTTCAGCAATTGGAAAACTTTAGTCTTTTCTGTAGAAAATAGACTAAAACGTGGAAACGTTGACTCTCAATTTTGACTCTCAATTTTCAGTCGTTCATTGCATAAAACTTGTGACATGGAGTTAAAGATAGTACGGGTTGGCTTTACATTTCCACGGGCGGGAAATGGGTGAAAATGTAAGTCTAAGATTGGAAGCAAAAAAACTTGGTCCGAGCAAGGTCAGTCGGACAAACACATATAGAAATGATGTATACAGTCGGAAAGACGGACTTGGCTAGATAGACTCAGCCCAGCCCAAATAATGGACTGAAAGCGCGTTATATCTGAAATGATACTGAATCATTCCTCGACGAGGGACGCAGAGATTCTAGTAATAGATAGCTTTTGTCATACATAGTAATCGTTTTTTTTTTTTTTTGTGAATAAACTATTATTGCTGAAAAATTTAAGAACAAATATAAGCATTGGAAAATTCTCAGATGCAGAAAAGTTTCCATTTTGATCGTTGGAGCTGGAGCTTGTCTTGTATGCGATGTTGCTCAAAGTATTTTTAGAGTGCAAGTTAGATTTCTGGCCTTGTTTAAGAATGAATACGTATTTCCGAAATTTTGAAAAAATTGCATTTTATTCTTCTTCTTTTTCTTTTCTGTTCATAAAGTGTATTTAATTTTGATCAGGATGACATGCTGAGTCGATTCAGAAAGTAGAAAAGCTAGAGAACTTCGAAATACATGTACATAATCTCCAAAACCATCAGCAAAAATCGTTTTCAGTTTTTTTTTTCTCAATACTTCCGCTCATTTTCGTTTATGTAACATGATTTTTAAAGTATAGTTAGAAAATATTAGAGAAAATATTAGTTCACAACGTTTGGCATGTAGCCTCTTGTATAGTGTACAATGATTAGGAGTATTTCACTTTTTGGATACCCTGTTTTTTGTCGCAATATTTAAAGAACCTAATTTCAAAGCTAGATCCAATCGATTTGGTATACTCACACGCATAGTGTGTGTTTTTTGTTGTGTTATGATTTTGGAATTTCGTAAAGATCGGATAATTAACACCGAATCCCATCACGAAGGCACATCTGCAACATAAGCTACTCATCAAGGGGCATGCTTTGGTTTTTGTTAGGGTATGACGGATGCTAGAATGCTTATGAGGCTTGTTTGGCGCTGGGTATTGGGTATTTGCTAGTCGGATACGTCCAACCAGGGCATTCTTACTTGCTTTCAAATATCTATTGTTGGAAAAGTATTGTCTAAAATTTAAAGAAAATAAATTGGCCTGGGCAAAGCTGGGTTATACCCGCAACTTAATATGTATAATTATTAATACTTTTCATTTTCCATTTGCAATTGTGTTGGCAGCAGCCGGGGTTGAGCGGTAGGGGGGTTGGTCTGTTAAAGTATTACATGTTGTTTGTAAATGTTAAGTTTGGTTGAGTATAAAATTGTGTTGTTACCAATGTAGAAATAGATTCCAGATACGAATGCGCCTTTCAGAGTATAAGAGTTTGTGCTTGGGACACACTCGTTTATGTGTTCTGCCTTTAAGTTGTAAATTCAAATTAAGAAAAAATAAAAAAAACAATGTGGTTATTAAATGCTACATTTTATTTGGCATCACAATTAGTGTATACCTCAGCGAAAATAAACTTTTACAAATTAAGAGACGACAGCGGAGGCTCACAAACATGTGTGACAAATAAAAATTGCTTAGTGTAGCACATGTTTTCTTTCTTTTTTTTTAAAGTGCTTTGGCAAATTTAAGATTCGAATTTAGGTGACTTTTAAAAAAAAAAAGAACAAGCCATGTTTTTGCTGTGTGCGTCATTGTTCGACGAAATGGGGAAAAAACTGAATTTCCACCTAACGAAATGCCTAGTTCTGGCAATTAGAATATTTCCAGATTAAGTCGAAATGTCTACAATCGAAATCGAACCAATGAAAATGTTTCCAAAAACGCATAGTTCAATATTTTACTTAAGGCAAAACAATTGATCGCAGACAACTTTTTAACACAATTCGCGTTAGAATTATTTAAAGACAGCTGAGAATATCTGCGGGCAAATTTGTATTAATTTTAGCTTTGAGTAGTGGAACTATCTTGGACGGGTCGCCATGAAACAGCTCCATTTGATATGCCATCTAACTGTTTACAGTTCTGTATGCAACTGATAGAAAGACAATGGAGGCATTGATTGACAGCAGCCAGGACTGTGGGGCCAGTCAGGAATCGGAGCTAAGCTGCCCACATGTTGGCGCTCAAATTGTCCAGACCGCCCTCAAAGTGAAAGTAAGTCCGAGCTGACTCGGACAACGAACTGACAATCAGACAGTCGGACAATTGAACAATCGGACTGTGGACACAGGACACAGGACAGAGCTAAGTGCACGCCACGCCACGCAACCACACACCACCACCAGGACAATGACGATGTGGATGTGGCTGTGGATGTGGATAAGGACGAGGGCGAGGACGAAGGCGACCGTCGCGTTTCGGTCAGTGTCAAAGGCACCGATGCAGGCTCGAGTGCTGGTAGCTGTTCAACCGGACGGGGGCCAATGTCGTGGTCAGCGAGCAAAAAGGAAAACATAGAACGCGGCTTTTTTCGTGGTGCCGATGGTTTAATACCCTGGATCTGCCCGGGTACGGCGATGTTCCCTAGATAATAAACCCTGCAATTGTTGAAGATATATGCATATGTGTGTGTTAGTGCTCGCTAATGAGGTTAGCCTAAAACACAGCCCCAATTTCGAGATAAGACCTTGAGATAATGGCATAAAGATCTTCAATATAATTAGTCAATGCTTAACAGATTATTCCAATGTTACCTATATGCTATTGGAGACGTCTGCTATCCTCACCAGACGTCTCTGAGATAGTCATTTATACTTAATCGACTCACCTGTTGTTGCCGACTAGGACATATGCAGGTAAATATTATGGCATCGGCGATACCTCTTTTAATATGCATCACACCTCGCAACAATATTATAATCCCACTTGCAACAAGGGTATACAAAATCGAACAACTGTCGAGAGGTGTCCAAGAGCTGGTGGGCCAGTGGGCCAGTGGGCCCTGGGGCGTGAGTCTCTGGGCTCCGCGTTGAGCAGTTGACGAATGGTCAGTAATTATTACAGGTTGTGCTGGCGTGTACCGGCTAGCATAGCATGTCGTAGGGCCAGTTGGCCGCCGTTCCGAATATGTGTTTTCCTAATGGCTCATGCGCGACTAAATGCTTTGCTGTTTGCCCAACTGACCAAATGGCCAATTGATTGAATGACCAACAGCTCTACTGGCCCAACAAGCCAACGAAATGTGGGCCAGAGACCCACCACAGTCGCCTGCTTGTTTTAAATCGCATTAGTTGACATTTCTGGACGAATAAGCCCTACGAATCTGACGCCCGACACTGCTCCTGACCCTGACCTTGGCCCTGGTCCGGGGCTAATCAAGGGAGCCGCCAGGCTCTGACGTGCGCCACGAACTGCCTAATTGCAATTTGCAATGAATGCATTGGCGAAATGGCGAAATGGCTCTCCGCCATGCAAAAACATTGTTCAAACAACTCAAGAAATACTCAACACACACACACACACGCACACGCACACGAACACAAGAGCAAGCC